TAGTTAGGATAGATTTGTACTTTATAGACTGCCTTCTGCCTGCCTTCAGACTAACACGGCTAACTTCTTTGAAAAATCTTTGAAAAAACCGTCAAGGAGGCCATCAACCACAAGCTCACAACTGGTGCAATAATAAGAAGCAACCAGCACAGCTTTGTCATGCCTAACAAACCGGGTATCCTTCTATGACCAGGTAAACTAACCAGCTGGACATGGGACGTGAGGTTGACATCATCTAACTAGACTTCAGCAAGTCCTTTGATACCGTTTCCCATGAGATGCTATCAATTAAGTTGGAAGGTACTGGCCTAGACCAGTCTACAGTGAGGTGGGTTGGCAACTGGCTCAGAGACCAATCCCAGAGAGTTGTACTCAGTGGGATCGCTTCATCCTGCAGGGCCATCTCCAGTGGTGTCCCCCAGGGATCAGTGCTTGGGCTTGTGCTCTTTAACATCTTTATCAATGACTTGGATGAGGGAGTGGAAAACGCAATAATCAAGTCTGTGGATGACACCAATCTGTTGGGAAATGTGGGCACATCTGAGGACAGGGTGAGGATCCAGGATGACCTTGACAGACTGGTCCTATGGGCTGAACGCAGTCAGACGAGGTTCAATACGGACAAGTGCTGGGTCCTTCATCTGGGTAGGAGGAACCTTCACCATAACTAAACAATGAGTGGTGGTCCACTGGCTGACACCACATCTGAAAGGGACTTGGGGGTAACAATCGACCAGAGGATGAATATGAGCCAATAGCATGATAAAGTCACCAGCAGAACCCTGGTGCACATCAGCCAATGGGTAGCCAATAGATCCCGAGAGGTGCTCCTCCCCCTCTATTGGGCATTGGTGAGACCACAGTTGGAGTACTGTCCAGTTATAGGCACCACACTTCAAGAAGGACGTGGATAAGCTCAAAAGGGTACAGAGAAGGGCCACCCTTATGATCAGGGGCCTGGAGGATAAGCCCCATGAGGAGAGACTCCGGGAACTGGGTTTGTTCAGTCTGAGTAACAGAAGACTGAGAGGCAACTTGATAGCCGCTTACAATTATGTCAGGGGGGAGCACCAAGATCTAGGGGAGCTACTAGTCAGAAAGGTACCCCATGAGAGGACAAGGACCAATGGGCACAAGCTAGTTGAGAAAAAATTTAGGCTAGACATAAGGAAAAACTTATTTTCTGTAAGGGTACCTAGAATCTGAAACACATTCCCAGGGGAGGTGGTGCAGTCGCCATCCCTGGAGGTGTTCAAGAGGAGGCTGGACAAGCACCTAGTTGAGCTCATATGAGCCCAATTACCTCCCGCCCGTGGCAGGGGACCGGACTTGAAGATCTTACAGGTCCCTTCTGGTCCTTCTATTCTATGATTCTAAGATACCTCTCTCCTCTACAGCTAACATCATGAGCCTTGCAGCACTACAGCCCAGAATTTCACTTTTGTTCTGTACCTATTTTACTACAGATTTACAAAAGGGTTCCTTTCCTTCCAGGGACATAAATTTCAATCTATCTGCAGTATTCTAATGCATCTATCTCCTAGTCTAATGCAAGGGTGTCAAAGATACAGCCTACAGAGCTGTTTCATCCAGTCCATGGTGCTCCTGAAGGGGATGGGAATTTGGGAGTTGGGCAAGCAGGGGTGGAACCTTCTTCCGAAATGCAAAGTATGAAGTCCCACTAGGGACACATGTCAGTAAGGGGTGGGGGAGAGAATGAGCTATGGCTGTGTTGGCCCCTATGCTGCTGCCAGAGGTAGATTCACATCCAGCCCAAGAGGAACCCCATGAAATAAATGTTAATAACATCAAAAGCAATGCAAAAGCAGCTTAAGCACAAATAAAGACTACTACATAAATATGCAACCTGAAAATAATCCAAAGTTACAGAAAGCAATAAATATATTATTAAGAAAACAACTAATATCTAACTGTAAATTACTAAAAAAGTTTTCTGAGAGTATGTTACTTATATAGAAGATACTTGTTAGCGCTTGCCTTAGCATACTGTTTGTTTCTTCCAGGTTTTTTATCATTTCCTCACTCTGGCGTTCCTTCTTTTTGTTATCCTGAACAAAGATGTATGTTGTTATTATTTGAATAACATACACTGACAGAATGGGGTTTAAGTAGTACATTCACCTGCCTTTAGTTAATGATGCCTTTTATATCTTAAAGTAAAAAACCTGGTTTCAAAATTTACAGACACAATAAAAGCTGTCAACATCATATTTTAATGTCATCTGGTTTCCCATGTTTCACTTTGAATAAATCATCGTCCAAAACCACGTATAAGATTAGAGCTTGCCTTACGGTCTTCTTGAAGCTTCTTCAGCTCTGTAATTACATCCCTCTTTTCTTGTGCTATTTGTTCTTTTTCTAAAAAACTTTTATTGCAGTCCATGTTTAGTTGCTTATTCTTTAGCCTATTAAAATATTTGGGAAATCAGAGAAATAAGGACTTTGAATTTCAACATTCCATTTAAAACTAATTTATAACAAAGCTCTTTGAATTTCCACATCGAGCGAGACCACATCTACACTAGTAACTGGTTTTTATGCAAAATCTGTTAAGGATGGGATTTTTGGTGATCATTTCTGTACCGTCAAAAAGCCCTGGTGAGATCCATTTATACCAGTGTAAGAGTGCTTTTAGCAACAAAAACTGTTTCAGTTGAGAAAATGACATAAGCTCTATAGGCAAATGCATTCTTCTGAGAAGCTGTAGGAGGGCTTGCTAATATAGCTATTCCAGTAAAGATCTACCAGTATTCCTAAAACTGAAGGCCTTTTCCGGCATAAACTGGCCTTAGGCAAGGAAATGCAAAAGAAATATCTCTCTCACGTCATTATTTTATTCTTCTTCTCTGTTGTATCTGATTTATGATTAAAATATGTTTTGGCTCATTATATTGTATATTGAACTGGACCTGCCTCATCCATTAAGATCACAGGCTAACTGGCTACTGATCTACCACCCTACACTTATTTCTTGGTTCTGCAAACATCTGCATTCTGATTTGATGCTCATTTTACAGTTATTTCTCAGTGGCTATCAAGGGCAAAGCTCCATCCTCAGTGCAGGCAGCTCATTGGGCTAATGTGGTTAAGACATGCCGCTTTCTGAAGCCAAGGGTTTTCAATCTCATTAGACTAGAGGCACCCTTCATCAGACTCAAAACATCCCTCAGAAAGTGTCAGACCTTAGTTTTACTTTGCTTTTTTTTACTACAGAAAAAGAAAAGAATAGAACAATACTTCTGTTGCAAAGAACTCAGAAAAATCACAATAGGAATTAATAGTGTCAAAGATATTCTGACCTATTTGAAATCTTTGAGTTTATCTTAGGAAACGGGTGTAGGTGTTTGCATGCCTAGCAGTGTTAATATTGCATGGCACCCTTAAAAGACGAATCGCCGATCTGGGACATCCATGATAACACAAACAATAACAACTTAGTTAAATTAAATGCAAGTTAAATTAAAAATCCCCACTCCTCATAAGTGGAAACGTTAAATAAATCTAATTTAATTAAAATGATTAAGTTATTATTAATGAATATGTTTTAAATCTCTTGATAGAGATTAGGCAAACAGAGCAACAATGATATGGAGAAAAGAGGAGAACGAGTGTTTACTCAGCTTTTTCCATAATTGAATGGAAAATTTGAGACCCAGGAGTAAAGGTTGCATTGTCAGCAATAATACCATCTTGATTTCCTTTACACAGAATGCAAAACTGTTATTTATTACAGTATATTTTCCAGAAATTGCACTAGTGCTGTTTTCTGTGGTCTGTCTTGGAGACAAACTCCTTTCAGCTGTAATATTTTCCCTTTGCGTTAGAGCTGCCAGAGCAACAGCTTAAAATGTGAGATAAACACTGACTGCTCCAGGGTACAATTTAGTTTACTTAGCAAAATAAATGTTCAATAAACCCACATAATATTGTGTCCCTACGTGTTTAGCTTGACGGTATCTTAATATATATATTTATTAGAAAATATATCATGCATGATTTTAAATGTATATTAGAATAAGAAACAACTTTTATGTATAATACCCCAAAATCAGAGTGTAAAGCTAATACTGTATTTAAAAATACATACATCTCTTTCTCAAGCTCTGCATTCAATGCTGCAATCTCTTTTAAATATTTTTGGTCATTTTCAACAGCACCAGTTAACTGTGCTTCTAAATCAAGTATTTTTTTCTGCAGAAAAATATAACATGAGTGGACATACATTTATAACCTACAGCTTCTGAAAAGCTGCCCAAAATGGAGCAGACAAACAAAACCTTATAACAAAATAACACTGCTGATGTGCTATAAATTAGCTAAATTATATCTACATAGCACCGCTGTAAAATGTTAACCTTTCATATAGATAAGCTGGACCTCTTCCCTGCACCCAGACTAATTAACAAGGCTGTAAGATTTTTGCAAATCTGCTTTTTAGAACAACTTCAGTGATAACTACCAAGCTTTCTATAATAAATCTTCTTGATTCTCAATGCACAGTCAAAGGAAGGGAACAGGAAAGGAGCCCCTACTGTACCCAAGGAATGAAGAGAAACAATGTACTTTCTTCCGGGTGCCTTGTCCCTGTGGAGAAGAGACCAGTAAACAACAACCAAAAAAAGATACTACCTCGGCAAGATATACCAGTGACTCTGGATTTGTTGGTTTGGAAGTGAAAAATGGGGTACTTGTACACACCACAGGGTTTAATCCTCATTAACTTAACGAGCATTAACATTTTAAAACTTGTTTATTTTGGCGCATCGTGTTTGTGTTTGCACGGACCGGGCTTTCAAACAAATTAAGCCCCGTGTGCAATTCCCCGTAAATTCCAGCAGGGGGAGCCAAATACCAATCTACTCCCAGTGCTGTCTTTCCTAAAGAACTACAGCAGGCGGCGCATGTCAGTAATACCCCTATAGTCCCTATTACTAACCCCTGTATACTGTAAGTATTAAGCCCATGCCTCCAGAGTCCCCGCTCCCACTTCTTGATGCTTGTGACTCCGTCTTTAGGTTAAGATGATGGTGTGTTGCAGTGAATGGATTGATAGATTTCCAGGGGCTTAAGTAGGGTCCAAATGAATTGCGCTTGGGTACCTAATTCCATGTAGATGTCCAATAAGTAAAACAGACTCTGGCTCTTGGTGCTCAGGTCCTGAATACCACAGGTAAGGGCTGTGAAGCAACAGGTACCAAAGGCAAAAATACCAGATTCCAAGAATTGAGAAACTCAGAGCTAGGTTCAGGACCAGAAGGAGAACGGTCTGCCATTAGCTTTCTTGGAGCGTGGCCCCCGGGCCCCTGGAAGGGGTGTTTGAGTCTTATGGAACTTATACTGAGCCAGCTGATTCGTGTGTCTCAACTTGCTAACCACTGGACATGGTGCCCTGTGCACTGGTTCATCTCTGGAGAAATGCTGCTTTTTCACAGTACCAGAGGACATTCCAAACTACAGCCAATTTCATGTGGACACACCTTAATTCTTAGAACTGCCCCACTTCTAAGCATTTAATACATTTAAATTTAATACTTCATTACTGGTAGATTTTTTAAATGTAAATATACCTCACTGTGCTTATAACAGCACGATAGCTCTTATAACATGGAATAACAAATGCACTCTAAATATTTCCCACATCAGACAGCTGTTGTTAAAATATAAACAAGCTTTGTATTAACTTATCTACATAATTTTCAAGGGTACTACATGTACATTCTTTGCATAATACTTCCTGCCAGTGACCAATGACGACATTCATGCATTCAAGTACATCTTATCAATAATATTAAAAAATTCCCCCTTTCTACAAACCTCTCTGACTTTAAGAGTATCCTTCATCTCTTTGTTTTCATCTTGTAATTTTTCCAAAGTGGTCTCCAGATGCTTCTTTTCAGCTAAAAGTCCTTCAACCTGTTTCTATTTAAAAGCAGCAAAGCAATCCCAACATTAGAATATTAAGTCTCAAACACGTAAGAAATAAGTATAATTGTCACATATTTTTACCAGTTTGTAAAATTTTCATTTATACCATCAAATATTAAACTGTCAGGAATATCATCCTGAAATAAATATAATATATTGCAACCAAGTCAGCCCGCTGTAAAAGAACAGGAAAAGAGAGCGTTATGGGTCAGTGTTGCCACAGAGTTTAGGAATTATGGGGCTCAGTTCAAAGCCCCAGTAGGTACTGTTTTCTTGACGGCATTTCAAGTTCTGTAGTGTTGAAGGTATGTATCGATATAATTAGGAATATAAGTAGTAGAAACTTACAAAGAAAAAAGTCCCTAAGGGAAAATGTTGCACAAAAACAATCCAGAACTTATGCCACAGCTAACTTAAGGGCATTACAAATAAGGTTGCCTTTAAGGTATGATGAACAAGAAAATTCACTTAGTCTAACCTTAAATTCTGTGTGGTCAGAGTCCCCAATTGCCTTCTCTTGTATTAATTTTATTTTTTCTGATTGCTCATATGTTAGCTGCTGCTTCAGATCTTTTTGAATTTTGACTGATCTTTCCTAGGTAATAAAGGAATATATGTTAAAAGGTATACTGAAATAAAAGGAACAGACATGAAGAAAAGATGTTTCAAAGTAATGTTTCTTTTTCCCACTCTTGTGTATCTCCTGTATTTTACAATTGTAAAAGCCAACATGCAGCTCATGCTTGAGCCATCCTTACTCCCACTGAGAGAAGGTAGGTCAGGAAGGATACCGTAAAGTCCTTTCCAGAACTTACTATGCTATCTATTGAAAGTGAGTGGCACTCCGTAATAAGGCCCTACCCTGCACCTCTGCACACCCTCCCCAGACCTAGGAGAACTCTCCAGAGGCTGGGGAACCAGGTCCTGGGACATAGTGAGTACCTCAACAAGGGAGCTGACACACGTGTGTGGAGTCAGAGAGGGTTAGCCACCTGAGCCCAGAGTGGGAAGGATAAAAGACACTAAAAGCAGCCTTAAGAGGCTGCATCTGGCCAGGGAGTAGGCTGCCTGGAGCTACCAGGGGTTAAGCAGCCACGGGGAAAGCCCAGAGTAGGGCTCTTCTCTGTTTGTTTGTTTGTTTGTTTGTTTGTTTGCTTGCTTGCTTGATCATTTGCTTTGTTGCACAAGTCTGCCGGCTCTGCAAAGCCTCTGAAACATAAGAGGCAACCAAGAGGTGAAGCCTGGAAGAACCACTGGAAGAGAGCTAAGTGCTAACTTATTTGTTTAACTTCCTTTGTTTGTTTTGCATTCAAGCCTGGGTGGCCTCTGAGTGTTATCTGCTAGCCTGGCTGCAGCAAAGGCAAGGGCCCTGAACAGTGGGGTCCTTGGCCAAAGCCAGCAGCAAAAGTAAAACTGGTCAGCTCAGTTAGTGTGACCAAACATACCCTGCTGCAATCTGCCTAGATTCTGCCCATAGCAGCCTACACACTCCAATAAAGGGATAGGCATCAGTACAAGAAGGTAGAAATAAAAAATTCAAACTAAAGTGTAAGCGCAGATTCCTGCAGTAATTTGTTTGCCTGCAACGTTCACTTAAGAATAGGACTGGCAGAGTAGCAATACTCTTATGTTTGTGCCTTTTCAAGAAAACAAATGTAATGCCACTAGAATACTTCCAAAAGGAAATTCAAAAGTTCCTGCAAACACCTATAAAAAATATAATCAATTCCACACAAATGTCTGTGAGGGATGTGAAACCTGTACAAGACAGGCTTCATCAAAACGCTCACTTTGCCACATAAAATAGTCTCACAATTCTATAACACTTTCTGTAGGAAGTTAGAAGTTTGACCATTTATATTGAAAATCAACATTGAGACGGCCCTTGCTCTTACTTTTTTAAAAGACAGGGAAGCTGGGGGGTCTCACAGTGGCATTAACTTTTTTAATAGTTTAACTTAATTTACTGCTTGCCCTCAAATGTCATGTCACTGAATTTGCAAGGGTTGGAATTTGTGGACATCATGGAGAGAAAAACTGTTTTTCAAAAAGCAACTGAATGAGGAAAGGCAGTATTTGGCAGGGACGTAACGTGTCAGCCAGGCTCCAGGGATAGCTGGGATGAATGGAGGCAGCGGTGACTTCTGGCTGCCGACAGCACTGCCAGTGCAACTGTGTGGCTACAGCAGAAACTTCTATTTTTTTTTTTTCCACACCGCTCCCCAAATCAGTACCTCAGGCTGATGCCCTAGTCAGTCCATTTTAGTCGTGCCACTGGGCTGGTATACTGAGAGTGGGCTGTCATTGCATAGATTCATAGATTGTTAGGGGCTGCAAGTGACCTTGTAGATTTGCGGGTCCAGCCCACAGCAAAGATAGCACTTGAAAAGGTGAAATAACTAAGATGTCAATGCTCATCTTACTGGCATATGGAGGGAATAAGAAACACGGTACAAGGTGTAGGCTATGCTGGAGTCGTACAAAGTACGAGCAAAGAGAAATCACAGTAGGAGGATTCAGGCCCCTCAAAGAAGAGAGAGAATCTAAATGATAGGTGAGAAAGTTAAAGTTTAGTGGCAGCTTTTGGACAGATATGAAAGGGCTAGAATGTGTTTGTAGGTAGCCTTTAAAAGACAAGAAAAGTTACAAAAGTTTAATAGGTATTTAAACTAGTAACACAGATGATAAATGACACTTACCAAGGCTTCTGTTAGGTTTTCAAGTTGTGCTTCTTTGTCACATTTCAGTTTGGCTATTTCATCTACAGCACGCGCAATGTAAACGCATTGCATTAATAAGATACACTTTTATCTACAATATTTATCTACAACTTTATCTTTACGTTGTGTTCTTATGCTGTTTCAGCTCTAATTCAGTAAGGTGCTTAATTCTGAACAAATCAGTAGCCCTGCTAATTTTGTTAAAGCTACTTGTGTTCAAATTTAAACATGTGCTTAAATATTTGGCTGACTTAAAGCCAAATACACTGCCCTTTTATTTTTACTTTTAAATGTCCTATATGAAAATGGATTAATGTTGTACAGCTGAGGATTCCTTTCTCTTATTTGGAGTAGAAAACAATCGCTGGACTAAATCCAGAATCATCTGTGCCATAGGTAAAATGACTTAAGTGCTTAGTTAGACAAACACTACGTAAAACATCTATATAAAAGTTACGTTTATCATACATTTGATAACATGTTATCCATTTGAATAAAAACTAGCCACTCATTTCAGTGATGTTCATAACCCCAATTATTTTTTACACAAACATATCTACGGTAAACTATGATCTGCAAAAAAGCTGCTGCCTCAGAACTCTTATGCAAATATTCATCTGTACAAATCTGGAGTATACATATTCACATGGCTTTCCTAACATAGTCCATTTCCTTTCCTCTATTCAATAAAACACTCAATTTATTCAAATAAGCTGCAGGATTTACAGAACAATCCCATTCAACAAATAATGAATGCAAGCACTCAAGATAAATGATTCATAAATAACCTTTAGCTGGAAATACGGTTAGAATAAAACATGGAGCAATTCTGAATACGTATATCTAACAGTATAAAATAGTTAAAATCTTAAGGCCAGCATTCTGAGTCCAGCTGAACTTTTTTGGCAAAGGACTTGGAAAATAGGAGATATGGTAGGTCTAAGCTCATCTTTCTACCCTGTCAATTTTAGAACTGGCTCTATGCAGGAATCAATATTAAACTTCTACAGGATTCCCGCCCCCTCCCTCCTCCCCACACACACTTACCACATACAAACTACATCATGAACTCCTATGTGAGATGGTAGAGTGGATACCTTACGATAATCTCAGAGGGACAATGTTCATTTTACCTGCAACTAGCTCGTGCAAAACAATTATCTTCCTGTTTCTGCAAATCTTACCCAGTTCAGTAGATTTCTTACGGAGGTCTGAAGCAAGTATTTCTGACTCATCTTCAAGTTTCGTCAATCTGTTAAAAAGCAAACTCCAGCTTTCTGTCTCCTCAGTCACTCAGTCCTTTGACTGCTCGTGACTGCTTGCAACGGTTGAAAAGATGTGTCCAGGCAACCCACCCCAAAAAGTAATTTCCTAGAAAACTGTTATAAGATTTGAATAAATTACACAATTCACAGCTTGTAAAATCCTTGCCATTTATAGCTCTAATTCTAGTTTTACTGAAATTTATTTTGGTTACCAAAACGACTTTTTTCAGAAAAAATATTGTTTTAAAGACTACAAAGGAAACATTAAGCTGTACTATTAAGTAATAATATTGTTAAATAAAACTGCGTCCATGTTGCTAAATATACCTGTATTGGTATTACTGTACCTATATTCTAGCACAGTGTACAGCTCTTACTGGCGATCAAGGCCCACCTGCTGTATGCCTTATTCTAAAAAGCAAACAATTGAAACAGACTAGATCAAAGATGGTTGAAATGAAGAAAACTCATCCTTATTTTACATACGTAGAACTGAAGTAGAGAGAATAAATGGTTCACTCAAGCCCGCACAGTACGCTTTGTGAACACCACTGGGAATCAAACTCAGTCTACTGCCTGAACAACAAGATTAATCATGTCCTTTAATTTTTTTTAAAGAAAAAGAACTGTTTTTCACCTATTTTGTTCTCTTTCCAGCAACTCTTTCAAGTTAGCAATAGCAATTTCAAATTCATCAACCACTGATGTATGCAGAGCCTTGGTTTCTGTAAGTTTTTCCATTTGTGCTGCTTTTTCTCCAGTGACTTGAATTATTGTTTCCATTGCAGTCTGTAAATCAGTTTCTAAATTCTTCTGAGTAGTCTAAACAAAGTGAAAAAAAGTATTCTAAATTAAAAGTTTTGATAATTATTTATTATTCATTTAATCTATTTACATCTTTTAATTTGTTGGAAAAATTATAGAGTAAGTCATACCTCTGCTTTTTGCAAATAAACTTTAGCTTCTTCCAGTTCTCTCATCAAATGGTCTTGTCTGGTCTGTGATTCTTCTAACATTTCTTTTTGATGTTCTAAGTCATAATAGTTACAAATAAGATATACTCTTAATATTTACAAAATATGTACCAGACAGGTAGTTTTACAGCTGTACGGTATGTAGAAATACTCTCTTCAGTATATTTCCCTTAAACTATTGAGACGATAAATATATTATTTAGAAGGAAGACATGAGCCAAGATTGTGACATCACTAGGAAAAGATGAAATGAGGGACATTTAATATTTATATTACTCATACAATTTAATTAAAGCATCCATATCAGTCATATCATGTGATGTATGTGATTTTTATAACTGCCCACAATTTTTTTTTTTGTATCCACTCAATCCATAGGGATTGAAATGTTTTAAATCTTAATTCTAAGAAAAATGATTGTGTGTGTGTGTGTGTGTGTGGGTAACATAAGCCCTGTTAAAATCACTGAAAATGAAGTACACGTCTTAATGATGCATCATTAATATCTCAGGAGAATTAAGTCTTTTTTGGCCCTTTGCAAGTTTCAGATTCTTCCACTATCATGTCTTAAGCATCAAATGGTAGGTTACTACAAAAAGTAGTCCCAGTTCCAATTCCATTCCTCTGCCTTTTGCCCACCTAAAAGGATTTTATTGCTTGCAAGTTGTAATGTTGAGTTATTCGGAGACAGAGAAATATGTCTGGTAAAAATAAGTATGACAGAGCCATTCACTTCAAAACTAGTGAATAGCTGTAGTAGTTAGTAATTAATGATCTGAAACGGATTCAAACAAGTGACCTAAGGCTTCTGCCCATAAAAACGGCATCATTTTTATTATACTGGTCCAGCTAAAGCAAGACAATCCTAATAATATGGGTTTTACAGTGGTATGAAGGTAAAAGGTATAAATTATATCAGAAAAAGTCAAGTTTATACAGATGTAACTGAGTCCAGATAAAAGTTTATAATACTTTCCTATTTTTTTAAACCCACACCCCTAAGTGAAAACACTCTCAGGTTTCTTACTTGATGTTTCTTCTAATCCAGTAATTTTATCTTTTGATTCCAGCAACTGAATGTTGATGTCTCTGATAATATTATCTTTTTCACCACTTTGAACAGTCAGAACTGTCACCTAAAGAAATGAAGAACTATTTCAATACATAGATAACAAGGTCTAAAAGAGACTACCAACTTTGTCTTATTTTAAATGTGTACATTATGCTCTGGATTAGCATTTGCATGTACAGATATAGAAAAATGTTTTTTTCTGGATGATGGGGTGGATAGTAACCTGTTTAAATTCGCTGATGACACCAAAATTTGGGGGGAGGTGAGCACGCTAGCAGGGAGGGAGAGATTGCAGAGGGATCTGGATAGGTTACAGGGGTGGGCTAACAGGAACAGGATGCGTTTTAATACGGACAAGTGCAGGGTGCTGCACTTGGGCAGTAGGAACCAGCAGCACACTTACACAATGGGGAACTCCCTACTCGAGAGCACGGAGGCAGAAAGAGATCTTGGAGTCATTATTGACTCCAAGATGAACATGGGCCGACAATGCGAGGTCATGGTTGGCAGGGCTAACCGGACCTTGTCATGCATCCACAGGTGCATCTCGAGTAGAGCCAAGGAGGTGATCCTCCCCCTCTATGCGACACTGGTCAGGCCACAGCTGGAGTATTGTGTCCAGTTCTGTGCGCCCCATTTCAAGAGGGATGTGGACAACATGGAGAGGGTCCAGAGGAGGGCCACCCGCATGATCCGGGGACAACAGGGCAGACCCTACAGTGAGAGACTGCGGGACCTGAACCTATTCAGCCTCCACAAGAGAAGGCTGAGGGGGGACCTGGTGACCGTCTATAAACTCACTAGGGGGGACCAGAAGGGTTTGGGGGAGACGCTGTTTCCCCTAGCGCCCGCTGGCATAACAAGAAGTAATGGGCACAAGTTGATGGAGAGGAGGTATAGATTGGACATCCGCAAGAACTACTTCACAGTTAGGGCGGCTAGGAGCTGGAACCAACTTCCAAGGGAAGTGGTGCTGGCCCCTACCCTGGGGGTCTTTAAGAAGAGGCTGGATGCCTACCTGGCTGGACTCATTTGAGTCCCGTTTCTCTTTTTGGGGTTTTTTGTTGTTCTCCCGCCCTGGCGGGGGGTCGGGCTAGAAGATCTACTAGGTCCCTTCCGACCCTTAATCTATGAATCTATGAATTCAAGTAAAAATAATGGAGCTTTAGAAAACTATCCACAAATGATGTTGCAGTTGGGAGTCAACAGCTGTGTAATTCAAACGCAGAGTGCATGTTCCAACCAGATATAGGTACAGAAACAGAGAGGGAAAATATAGAATCCAGTCAACTACCATGCAATTTGTTTTATTTCCTTCACTTACCCTCCCTACTGCTTATTACACTTGTAACCAACTTTCAACCTCACATACTCATCTTACACCAATCAGCAGGTCCAATCCTGACCTTTCTGACATTCAGAAAGAGATGTTTCTTCCCCATTACATGGTATTAGGGCTGTGCAAAGCTTCGTCTGGCGATTTCAATTTGGAGGAGATTCGGCCCAATTCGGTGGCTGAATCTCCAAATCCAAATTGAATCAGGAGACAAATAAAAAGGTCCAAATTGACTCAAAGCTCTCTGAATCTTTGGAAAAGATTCAGAGAGCTTTGATGATTTGGGCACTCCCCGCCTGCTGCAGCAGGGAGCTGGAGCCGGACTCCAAGCTGCTAAGTAGAGGCCGGAGCAGGGGAAGCTGCAGGATTGGGGAAAGGACCATGGGGAGACTCCTGCCAGGTCCCAAACCCTGACTGCTCCCCCAGTGCCCCCTGACACTTGCCTGCTCCCCCAGCCCCGCCCCCCCATGGCTGCCCCCCCACTCCCAGTTCCAGTTGCTTTAAAAAAAAAAAAAA